GGAGTGCTAACCTCCCCGTGGAAGACTGGATACGTGGGATAAAAGTTTTGGTTTGCGGGCCCCTAAGGGCTCTGGCCAGTAGCCTGCCAGGTTTGTTTGAATACTCATAGAGAGTATGTTTACCCCGCAACAAACGTTGTTTAGTTTTTGCAAATAGAAGATCGTTAAGCTCTTCCCGCACCCGTATCAGCCTGCGATAGGTAAGGACGGCCAGTGATTGCTTGTGCAGCAACTCCAGTTCTCGCAGTTCCCTAAACAGTTCCCCCACCCGCTGCCCCCTCTCTCTACGGGCCCCGTGCTTAATCAGAACACCACGTATGACACATTTATGTGCTGCCCACGTGGACAGGGGGGACGACACCGAGCCATTATTTAACAAGAAGAAGGAGCGCAGTTCACACTCGAGGTCATCTCTAATTAGACGGTCCTGTAAAAGGGACTCATTTAGTCTCCAGGAGGAGCTCGAGGAGGTGGGTGCCGAGAGATCGAGGGATAGATGGACTGGCGCGTGGTCGGAAAGGAGAATGTCCCCAATATCCGTCGAGATCACTGTGGGGAGATCACGGTGTTGTAGAAAGAGATAGTCTATCCTGGAGTATGCTTGGTGGGCAGCGGAATAGAAGGTGTAATCCCTATCTTGGGGGTGTAGTAGGCGCCACGGGTCTATCAGGTGAAGCAAAATCAGTTCCGCTTTCAGCCTCCGAAGGTAGGAGTAGGAGAGATGGGAGGAGCCCCTAGAGACATCTAGGACGGGGTCCAGTGCGAAATTAAAATCACCCCCCAGCAGGATCATTCCCTCCCCGAATTGAGCTATATTCGTCACCAGGGTCCGTAGGAAGCCCAGCTGATCAGAGTTAGGGAAGTACACATTGACCATGGTGACCTGCAACTGACCCAGCGTGCCCTTGACCAGCAAGTACCTGCCCCCAGGATCCGTCAATTGATCCTGAAAATGCCACGCAACCGACTTGGCCAGTAAAATGCTTACCCCCTTTGTTTTATTGAGGGGGGATGGGCAGTGGTATACCACCGGGAAGTCTCTATTTTGTAGCTTGGGGACATTGTCCTGCTTAAAGTGTGTTTCCTGGAGGAAGACCACCTGTGAGTTGGATTTCCGTAGGTCCACCAGCAATCGTGACCGCTTCTCCGGGACATTAAGCCCCTTAACATTAAATGTTGTCAGCTTGAGCGGGCCCATGGCGACAGTGCAAGGACTCAGCAAGATGGCTGAGGGACGGGAGTCCCAGCAGGGGGGGGTAGACGAGTAGGGAGGGTGGGTAAGGACAGAAGGAGGGGGTTAAGAAGAGGGGTGTAGGGCAGCAGGGGGGGGGATAAGGAGAAGGAGGAGAAGGTAGAATGGAGAAGGAAGAGAGGTAGTATCAGCAATGTGTGGGGAAGGGAGTCGGACCAATCTATCGGTCCGAGTATTACCTACGGGGAAAGTCCCGGTGCGTGAAAGGCTGGGACGGCCTATTTGGGGGTGTCCGAAGTGCGTACACCAGATACTCCTGTAGAGATGTGACTCGCGACAGGAAATGACCAACCGAACCCCATGGTGCAGTGAAACGACCCAGTAGCGATATCGAACTGAGACTCGTCACCCGGGGGGGACCCGCAGCAGCAGCTCTGCATAACCCAGCGCTGGGAGGGGTGCTACCTAGATTCCGGCGGCTGAGCATCCACGGTACCGGGTCGGTATCGTCAGTTATAACGGCTTCTGATGTCGGCGGTCACAGAGCTTCAGGGACCTGCGTGCTCACTCGGCCATGTCGAGACCACGCCCTGAAAATCCTTTTTTAACAAAAAAACAGTGTTTGTTTTTATGAACACTAAGGGGGTTATTCACAACGGACCCAAAGGATCCAGCCGTAGCTTCAGCTGATCCTTCGGCTCTCTTCGGCTGCCGGAGCCCTTCGGTTCAGTCGAACCCAAGGGCTGCTGTACGGGCTATTCACTATAGCCTGTACAGCAGCCGAAGGTGGCCGAGCCGAAGGCATATGCCTCGGCTCAACTGAGCAGAATGGCCTGCCGAAGGGCCGGCCGTAAGCCCCACAAATGACAGCTGGGCGGAGCCAGCCGTGATCTCACAGCTGGCTGCGCCCATTTGTAATGACAGATCATTGTCCCCAAATGACCTGGGGGTGCTGCTCTGTCATCTGTCGTCCGCCCAGTTGTTATTCATTGTCTGAGACCTGCTAGAAGATATTTTATTAACTTTTTGTTCTACTTTTTTTACTATTTGCTATTCCGCTTGGTACCACGGAGGTACCGAGCAGAATGCCGCTCGGCGGAATTTGGCTATTCACTCACTGCCGTTCGTCCCCTATGTGAATAGGGGCGAACGGCAGCAAGTGAGCTGCTGGAGCTTCGGCACAGCTGATCTAGACATTGGACTGGCTGAGTCCGAGTCCTTCTGCAATTCGGCTCAGCCGAACATGCAAAGCATGTTCAGCTGACCGAAGTGCTGCCCATGTACGGTTGATTTCAGCCAATGTACGGCTACAGTCAGCCGTACTGAGCCATAATGAATAGCCAAACGTTCGGCTCACTTCACTTCGGCTCGGTTATTCACTCGTCTGCCATCGGCAGCTTTCTGAATAACCCCCTAAGTCCTCCATTTTTTAAAGCAACGATATGGCCATCCAGTAGCCATACCATGTCTTTAAAAAAAATCACTGCACCTTTATAAACTGCACTGTGCTTATACATGGCCTGCATTTTATGAATGGGATGTAAAATAGACACCACGTTGTGAAGTAACATTGTAGTGTCTAGCAGACATATCTCTCTTTTAAATTAGTCCTTATGAAAGCACCAACGCTATACACCTTCTTACAGCAATTTCACAGTATGGCTGCCACCAGTGGATGCACAAATGTCAGGCAAGACTGTCTTTAAATTATATTAGGAGTAAATGTCTGTGTCTTAAATTAAATTTACTAATAGTAAATTAATAATGGCATGACGCTTTAACCTAGCCAGGCATGTTTGTTATCTCCAAGTGCTGAATGATATATGCCAAACCATGTCTAACGCATATGGATGAAGAACATAGCAAGAGAATTGGTGTGTTGTGCTGATAAGAAAAGCAGAGCTTCTCCCTATTGAGCCTTACCGCAAACCCTTAACTCAGGTGGTCTGCCACAGCTGTTCAAGTTAACGGGTCAGTTGATGTAGCCCAAAGCCAACAATAGGAAGCACAGCACACTGCCATCTGTGAGCACAATTTTGATAAGAACTGGTCAAGGTGCATTAGAAATAATGGGCACAGTTGTACCTAACCCTGAGAAAGTTTAATCCTCTTATACAAATGTATAATGCTCTTTGAATCCAACTTTACTACTAATTTGTCATGATTCTCCTTGAAAAAATCCCTACCTTGTTGTAAATAAAAACAGAAAAGTAAGAAATCATTCAAATTTTATTTGCCGAATCCCATTAAGCAGTGCAGCTGCTTAACACAGCACATTTCAGGCATTATGTACAGAGAGCAATGCTGAGCTACATACAAGCACACCTTGCTTTGTTACAGCTAAAGACCCTTGTATGAAGAGTTAGCATTACACTTTGTAATCCTGTTGTAGCTGACAAATTGACCTAGAACAATATGTCAAGTGGTGTTGGATACCTGAGTAGACAATAAAGTCGTTGAGCTTAAACAGATTGTAGAGCTTCAGCAAAGTGTCACATTTCACCTAGCTCCTTTACATGTTAAATTTCATGAATAGAGATCAGCATCAAGATTGCCTATAAAAATTATTTTCTGAATGATTTTTACCTCTACTGTAGTTCAGATTCAGAGATGTTCTATTGTGTGTCCCTAATTTAATCAATATTATATGTTAACAACCTACGACAACTACAATTATTTTAGTTTAGATTCTACACCATTTATTCAAATAAATAAACATATTAAATATATTCATTCTTGAAAATTGTTGGGTATCCTGCAGACACATATTTACTTAGCTATACTACATGCAAAATATATTTGTAAAAAATGGATTAAATGATTATCAAAGTCAGCATTAATACTTGATGCTTTTAAGGACTTAAAATTACCTCTGCAGGTTACGATAAATTAAGTATAAAGACAAAGAACAGCACAGGCAATGTGTCAACATTTGTTCTGTGTAGTAGATTTATTGTTGTTGAATAAAATTGCTAATATTTGGTGTTCTCTAGCTGGCAAAAACCTTTTTGTACTGTGAGTAGATTTCTAAAGCATGAGCTTGCATTGTTTAAAATAGTGTTTGGTGTGTTTTCTTTTTTCTTTTTTTTTACAATTATTAAGCCTTTGCATTGCGTTTACATCACAGTATACCTAGGTTAATATGTGGGAGCACAATAAGGTCTTTTGTACGAATGGCTATACATGTATGGAGCTTATGCTTACAATCAAGAGAACCCTAATAAAGTATTAAGATAAGTATTTCAGCCATGTTCAATATTTATTGTGGCATTATCATGAAAATTGTAACTGTTATTCATAGGATCTTTGGTAGGAATGGTGAGAAATGGAGATCTGTATCATTTAACTACATATTGTGTTTTCATGACTTTGTATCCATTCTTAGAAGCGCATAATGTTTTTTCCCCTTACAGGCTTCACATTTAACCTGCTTAATAGCGCAGTGTCCCTCTGCTCCTGATAGAGTTTATTCCAGCCTCAGACCCTTTTTTTTTGCTAGCTAGACAATAAACCAAAAAAAATGGGGCTCTTTTTTGTTTGCTTTAAAACAGAACTGATTATTTGTATTCTTTTAAAGCGCGCTGAATTGAGTCAAGCCTGCATTTATCCTTCCATGCCTCCTGAGCACAAGGAAAGGATTCATGCTGCTCTGGAGTGCCAGGGATAAAAAAAGAATGCTATTACAGTAATTATTTGTTATTATTTAATGTCTAGTCCGGGAGGCATTCTCCATCTTTGAATGTTTGACACATTTTGCGTGAACATCTGTTGTTGATTCATGTTTCTGGTGTTATTAATCTTCTTGTAGGTAAGCAGGTGATTCACCCAAGCCAGATTCCTATTGTCCAGGAGCAGTTTACTCCGAGTGCTGACAAAATAAAATGGGCCCAGGAATTGATTTCTGCTTTCGAAGAGCACCAAAGATTAGGAAAGGTAAAAAAAAAATAAACAACTAGTCCAGTGTCTTATCATCTTTACATATGATTTTTATGAGAAGTGATAACGTTTTAGTTTTTCTTTTTATTAGGTACTGTGGGTTTTTTTTAAAGCCAGCATTATGTGTTAAAAAAATAAACACCATCACGGTTTTCAGTTTATTTTTTTACCTTGACTAACTTTGCCTTTGTGGTTTCTTAGACGCTTCCTTTCTCCATTTCTTTGGAAACTTTCCACATAACCCTAGTAAACACAAAGAACAGATTTCTATTTAAGGGTTACTTGTCGAGCAGGAGACATGTGCAGTTCCTAACTGAAATTAGCCGGGTATTCAACTTGTAAAATTCTAATCAAGTCAGATTGAAGAAAAGAACATTTGAGATGGTTAGCAGTATTAATCCTGTGTTATTCCAGGTCAGGATTTGATGGCCGTATAATTCTTTTTAATTGTAATGATTAAGAAATAACTCTGTGCGGAATATTAGTTTGGAAGTCAAAGATTTGGATATATACAAGGAAGCAAATTAACACTGGAAAATGGTTGTTGCTAATTTACTGCATCATTGAGCCTCACGTTTTCTGCACTGTGGGTTTCTGCTATGTAAATATTGCAGTAGTGAAGCACAATCTGTCGCCACTTTGTGCCAGTAACACTTAAATTAGGAGTCGCCTGAAGGAAGGCTTTATGCCAGTTTTAGCATTGTCTACTAATTATCTCTTAGTTTATTTGAAATAATCCCGTTTGCTACCTTCGACAAAACAAGAAAAATGCCATGGTTTTTTTTTTAAATCCACAATGCGCATCATAGTGTACCTTACCTCATACCTTAAATCGTTAAACAGAAATTGCTGAGAATTGTGTATCATCATGCTGTGTATAGTAATTAGTTGCATATGGGGTCTGATTTGCAAAGAGTATACTCAAAAGACTGTCTAGTTGTACCAGATAACAATCTTGTTTTTCACAAAGCTTAAGTGCACTTTTTTATTTTACAATTTTCTATCATTTCAAAAGAGTCCCAATTTAGACTACATGTGTAATTTCCTCTTGCACAATACATCAACTCTTTGCATGCACAGTAGTGGGTTGCTATAAAAATAAGAATACGCTGCAGCATGCACTCCAGCTAGGCTGCCTGAGCACTGGCATAAGACTGGAAAACGACGTCAATCATGGCAGCATATAGAACCCATATAACGCAAAAGGAGAGATGCCGCATAGGAGAAGCGCTTGAGGACAAAAGGTGCTATTGTTAAGAGTGACATGGCAATTATGATGTCCTGAATACCAAAATTCATAAATATTTTTATGATTATGTAAAATTATTGGGTTTACTGGGAAGCTGTCTTTTATTTAGATGAATTGAGCTGCAATGTTCAATAATGAAGTTACCTGGCCACTGGAAATAACATTAGTGTGTTGTTTTCATATTGGCATCTGTTATTTACCTGGGAAATTGAAGCCGATCAAATTTTATATAGTATTGCTTTTATACGGCACTGAGGTAAAACACAGACCTTGTCAAAGCTAATTGTTCCCAACAACCAGTCATTGCACCATTAAAGCTCCATAAATTGCTTTTGTTAGTTTGGGGGATGCTTGCTGCGCTAACCTTAAAATAATGCATGCATAATTCAGAAACAGTTTATTAAGTATGAAAATGTGTACCACAGCTACATTTTCTAAAGAAAAAAAAGTATTGTATAACATACTGTATATTTACCTATTCCTCTCTTTCTTCCTTAAAAAAAAAACAAAAAACACTGTGAATGTATTAACTGTTGAACCACTGCAGAGCTAAACACCGTCATTTTTCATCTACCTGTGTCTGTCTGATATCATACAATGCAATCTGAATGGAAGGTATTCTCACAAGAAAGAGTATCATGCCACGTGCCTAAAAACAGTATGAACAGTTCCCAGGGCTGCTAGAAATCTATTCTATAAGATTATATTTTATGGGAGCAAATCTACTCTGACAGATTCGTCTGTTTCTATTATAGGTTTGTCATGTTTAAATAGAACCTCTGGACCTAGGAAATAAATTATGTAACTATATAACTGTCGGGTTGAAGAAAAAAAACACATGTCCATTGAGTTCCAACAACAGACAAAACAAAAGAAAAAAGAAAACTGCATTATCAGAACCCAAACCTGCCATTGATCCAAAAAACCTTTATAAAGCATGATTCAATTTGCTCCAAATCCCCTAAGGCTAGCACATAATCCCTGTTGTTATTTCTTCAAAATATTATTAACTATATATATTTTGTAAATTTAAAAAGACATTCAGCGTTTTTTTAAACAAGATACAGAGTTAGCTAGCAGTAGCTAGGTCAATTCCACATTTTCACAGCTCTTACTGTAAAAAAGCCTTTTTGTTTGCAGAAGTTACATGTCTTTCCCTCCAGATGCAAAGAGTGCCCCTTTGTCATTTCCAATAAATTTACTAAAACAAATCTGTGTTTAATATATAACTGCAGCAATACTTAAAATAATGAATATAATATGTGTTAACACATTTAACAACTGCCAAGTTTAAAGCAGTAAATTATCGCCAAATTCAAACTATCTGAAACCTTTTTAGAACATTACAAAAAACTGTACTGAATGAGACATGTAGCCTGCCATTGCTGACCTTATTCCCCCAAAAATGGTTGACTTGCTGTTTTGTGTCAATCATTTTAGAGCAACTAACCTGGAACATATATAACCCTTTCATGACCATTTTTTGTTGTTGTTTTTTTTAGATGCCCAAATCAAATTTAGAAGTGTGACTATGGAGTTTATTTACTAAAGGCAAATAGGCTGTTCACTTTGCAAGGGAATTTTAACCTTGCAGGGGAAGTTTTCCCTTAGCTTGGTGAATGTGGGGAAACTTCACATTGCAAGGAAAATGAAAAAAAACTGTATTTGTGTTTGCACATGATTGGGTGATAAAGGTCAGCAGAGCTTCACCTCATTTACTAAACTAAGGGGAAACTTACCCTGCAAAGTGCAAATTACTTTGCAAAGTGAACAGCATGTTTGCCTTTAGTAAATCAATCCCCATGCATCCGTTAACTTGCCAATAATTGTATGACTTCTTTTTCAGTTTAGATAAATATGCATCTGGACCATCATTATAGGTCATTGCACCACATCAATAATATTGCAATAAAAATACACTAAACAACTCACACTGGTACTTTTCAGTTGCTACAGTGATAAATTGGACATATGCATCAGTATATAAAGACAATGGGGGTGATTTACTAACCTAAACACACGCACGCACCAGGTGTGTGTGATTTTCACACAGCAAAACGTATTTATCAACCAAAAATTCTCTAAAAGCATATTTCCACTAATGCCATATATGGAAAAATCATGCACATGATGCATATATAATGCTGCTTCACAGTTTAGACAAAAATGGTTAGCTCATGCATTTACATTCCTGCATTCATCAACGCAAGCAACATAACATAGAGCTAATTTACACCACATTACCTTGCAATTCATTGCAGGGCTTTGCACAACACACCTGCTGGGTGTGTACACACTACAAAGGTGTTTCGATTCCTCCCATAGATTATGCTGGGAGGGAACACACTACAGAGGTGTATACACATTCGTGGTGTGTTTAAAAGGTTAGTAAATCAACCCCAATGTCTTTTATTAATATAAAAGTCATAAAACAACACATGAAACAGGCTTAGCGTCTATCCAAATAGTTATCAATGGATTAGAAAATTGACTATTTCCACATATAATACCCACCTGTTAGCCTTCTATAGAAACAGCATATATAACCATCACAATAATTTTAGCTTCATCAGAAGATGTGGAGAGCTTGTCTAGAAGTCATATAAAGAACACAGAAAGCTGGTATTAGTTTAATCACTTACTTACAATTACTATATTTTTTAACCACCTCCCTACTGGCCGTTGTACTGAATCGATCACTAGGGGGCACCAGCAATTATTCTGAGTGAACATTTTAAAATGTCCTTTTGTTTACTGTTGGTGCACGCACCTGGCATGCGCACATTGCCTATGATCCCATCATCAGACAGTAAACATCATAGGCTAAAGGCACAGAGCCAGTCAGAGTGACTCTGTACCTTGTGATGGCCAATCACAGTGATCACAAATATAAACAGTATTGCTTTTTACAGTTGAGAGCCCGCCCCTTCCTCTCACAATGGATAAAGGAAGATCACTGCAGGGATCCATGGAGAGGGGAAAGAGAGGCTGCAACGAGGAAGGCTTCATTCAAGGTGGGGTGTTTTAACGTGCCCCTGACCACCCAGTGCTGTGGGATTGTTTGGTGGGGATTTATAGTGCCAGCAACAACCAATGATGGGGTAGGAGTTTTTTTTTTTTCCAGTGACAACCAATGATTGCAACATTGTTTTGAAGGAGGAGATAAAAGTGATGCTGACCAACCACCAATGATGGGGAGGTTTTAAAATGCCACTGACCACCAATGATTGTAGGATTGTTTTGGGGGGGTTAACCCTTTTGCTGCCACCGACTTAATGCTTACATCAGCAGTAGCGCAAATCTTTAAACATGCTCTGCTGCCTCTCCTGTGAGCCGGGAAGGCCATGGTAGGTGTCGGCAAGTATCAAAATTATAAGATTAATAAATTAAAGTTATCATAAATGTAGAATGATTTGGTGCAATATTCTGCTGGTATTTCTAAATATACAGTGCTGTAAGTTCTTCCTTTCCGGTTTCCTTTTGTATTGCTTTTTTCTCATTTATTCTGATGTTTTTGTTAGTTCTAGTATTATGTACATATTTGATTGGGGGAAGGTGGGTGCTTAGAATATTATTCCTATCCTTTTTTATTGGCACTGACGAACATACAATCTACAGTCATGTGAAAAAAGTATTTGTCACTCCACAATCTGTTAACTCTTTGCTCCAGTTTTAGCAGCAACTTCTGCTGCTAAACTCTCAGAAGCTGTTGAAAGGATTTCCAAACCAGACATTTTTGTCCCTCTCC